CTCCTGGGACCAACCCACCCCCTCAGTGCCCAGGGGCTCCTTTTGGGGCTGGGGACACCCAAAGGGGACAAAGCAGCATCGGGACCCACTGGGGGCTTTCCCCACCCAGCCCCAGAGCAGAGGCACAGTCAGACGGGGTCCCCCCACCCCAAATCCCACTCCCAGGCCGTGGTGTCCCCCCAGACCCCCACGTCCCCCCCTGGTCACGGTGACACCACCACGGCCCCATCCCCCAGCACAGACAGAGGCAGCTCTCCACACAAACTCTTTATAGGGGGACCCCGGGAGGGGACCCCTGCCCCTCAGCAGGGATCAGATGGTGGGGGGGGTCCCTCGTGGGGATCGGTTTTTGGGGCGGGGTCCCTCATGGGGATCGGTTTTTGGGGCGGGGTCCCTCGTGGGGATCTGTTTGTGGGGCGGGGTCCCTCGTGGGGATCCGTTTGTGGGGCGGGGTCCCTCGTGGGGATCCGTTTTTGGGGCGGGGTCCCTCGTGGGGATCCGTTTGTGGGGCGGGGTCCCTCATGGGGATCGGTTTTTGGGGCGGGGTCCCTCAGTGGGGCAGCTCGTGCGGGATCAGTTTGTAGTGGGCGCCACAGGAGGGGCAGCGCTGGGCCTCGCCCTTGTGCAGCCAGAACCAAACCACGTAGCTGTTGTCCTCCTCACCTGGGGACACAGGGACGGCGTGGGACACACGGACAGGGGACACAGGGACAGAGGGACAGGGTGGGATGGGGACAGGTTTAGAGGGACGGGACAAGCACAGAAGGGGATGGACAAACGGACGAGGGACAGGAACGGACACACGGACAGCCTGGACAGGCACGGGTGGGAGGAGGGACGCACGGACAGGAAAAGGACAGAGACACAGACAGACGGGCCGTGCACACCGGCAGGAGAAGGACAGACGCATGCACACACGGGGACGGACAGACAGCCACAGGGATGGGCACAGGGACACAGGACGGACAGATGGACATGGGGATGGATGGACACAAGGCCATAGGGATGGACCCACAGACAGGACAGACACACGGACGCGGGGCCGGGGGCACTCACAGACGCAGCCCACGATGCGCCTGTTGGTGATGGAGGGCACGAGGTTCGGGTCCTCCCTGGTGCCCGCGTAGCGCTTGGGCCGGAACATGCTGTAGGGGTCCTGCGGGCAGGGGCACCCCGGGCGCTGAGCACCCCC